TTCTACAATATGTCATATGAAATATCTTAATAAAAATGTTTCTAAAATCTATCATGTAATAAATTGAATCATGCAGATTTTTTTCTGTAATATTTCATCAATCTTTCAACAAAGTTTCATGTGCAAGAATTACGGAAATTTTGCTATTCCAGAGCTGTCTTAGAAGTGTTGCAGACATATTTGTAATTTTTATGAAATGTTTCACTTTTCAATTAAAAAATTTTTGAGATATTTCTGAAAACTTTCAATGCTGTACTATCATATAATAATTCTATAACAGTAATATTCTACTATACAGTATATTTACCAAGCTATTATTTACAACGTTTTTATAATTATAGGATACTCTAGATTTACAAGATGTTCCCGAATTAAATCATCAAACTCAAAATATGAATTTAAAACTTCAATTGAAGCAAAATTTTCCTAGGTTTGCTTGCAAATGCTAATTCGTTCAAGAAATATTGACTTCTTAAATTATTGAACTTATATAGGTAAAAGGTAATTCTTTATAAAAACTTATACATAGCTAAGATGATTTTGACCTTGATATATATGTCAAAATGAATAATTTATGACAATAATTTTGAAAATATAAATTTTGAAAAAATATTATTGGCTATAAATGGAGATAAATGGAAATAATTCTATCATAAAACTTTTTTATTAGACAAATTATTCAATTGCATTTTACATACGTCTTTATATTAGAAATGCAACTAAATAATTTTTTTTATACATATTTGTTTTATGCAGCTTTGCATAAAAGTTTTTTATCTTTCAACATTTACAATTGTACAATTATATAACCCAAAACAGTTTTTACTTTTCTTTATACACGCCCGATTTTTAGACAGAATCAGCAAAGTAATTTAAAGCTGAAAAATCATCTAAATCTTCAAATCCCAATTACATAGTCTGTGGAAGATTAATTTGATCGATTTTGAATTTGTCGCGATAAATGGAGCAATTTCCTACAGTGCCCTCTCCCACGGATAAAAAAGGCTGTTTACCGCAACGACATCTCTCGTTTTTAGAACAATTTGATAGAAATGAGTTACGAGGAGACCTAGGAAGTGGGGAGAACTGTCTGCCGTCTGGTCGGAATCGTCGTATGCATATGGTGCCATTTGTATTTGTTATCGTTGGTGTTATGCGGATGGTGCTGTGGGTGCTGGTCTCGGTATAGTCTCCCCCGCGGTGCGAAGCGCAGGATGGGCAATCAAGTGGCACGCGTCGGAAACGCATCGCATAGGAAGGTGGAATCCACACCCGCAGCAAGCACCGGTAACGGGAATCACGGTGCGAACGTCACTGCCTCCTCCACCGCTGCCGCCGTCGTCTCCAAGAGCGAGCCGGACCATCACAACTCTCACACGCAGTTCTTCCCGATCGAGAACCTCTCCAAGGTACAACGGCCCGCTTGGTCGATTTAAAATCGTTCTCGAACCTCAAGCAGGCCGTACTCTTGGTGCCTTGGAAAATCATTCGGGAAAAATGTGGAGCGATATGACCTCTGTTGCCAAACATTTCTACAGCTGTTTGGGAGAACGACAAAAACAACCTCTTTCCATTCAGTTTTTTAAATTATTTTTCTGATATGGATGTATTTTTTTTGTCTACACTGCAACTCGCGGAAGTCATTTCATGTTCCTCATGCAATCATGAATATTTGAATATTTTTATCATAATTCTCTGGATATTCTGAAATCATGAATCACACTTTTTTTCCTGTTTTCCTCAATTATATAAGTTAACTTTTGAAATATGTAACTATAAATGGATGATTATATAGAGATTGAGTCTCAGTCACATAACTTATTTTGATAATATTAAAGATGCTTGATAATATTAAAAACTAAGTGACAAATTATTCAGAGACTGTTTATGGAAAAATGTAGTTGAGATAGGGAATTGTGAAATTAATTTGGGAGAACAATTGCATTTCCATTTTTTTTCATTTTGAAATCCCAAGACTTTCCTTGTGTTTCATTATATCATTTCTTTGCATACAGGTTAGTAACCATATCTTATACGTAACTAGCTGTTATCAAAAGCTAACATTACCTAATTAGTTTTATTTATATAATGAAGACATGCAATATCTTCTTTGTTTGCAAACAGAAGTATAGAAATTATTTTACTTATATGTCTCTCTGATATATTTAATGATTCTTATTTTACAAACACGAGTATAAAAAGCGATTGAAGTGTTCCTTGGATTAAATTTTAATATTTATAATTAGTAATATTCCTAATACTGATATTGTATATTTTGCAGATATTGTCGCATCTCGCTCATCAAGAGGCACACGTTAATGGCATTACCAAATCTATATTTGAAAAATATTTATTTCCTACTCATCCTGAGTTAAGCGAGAGGCTCTTCACTTATCTACACCACAATGCTCATGCCACGACTGCATATATAAGTACAACAGCTTTCAAGCAGCAATCTGAGAAATTTTTGTCAGTAATGAACGATCAAGCTATACTGGAGAATTATGTAAAAATATATTCTGACCTAAAAAATGGTGGCAATGTTACTCCTGAAACGCTGCGAGCATTATTGACATCTTGCTATCAGCTGGCGATGGAAAGCAACAACACCAGTTCGTGCCTTCATTCGCAACAGATAATAAATGCAGTTGTCATTTCATGTGTTAGTAAATTTATTCTTTTAATGCAGATAGTATAAATGCAATAGTATAAATATATACTGCAATTTAATTATTGTATTGGGTCATCTAAAAAGTATCCGCGGTTTTTTGTCACTAGATGGTGTTGATGGTCAACACATCTAGTGACAAAAAACCGCGGATACTTTTTAGATGACCCAATATAATATATTATAACTATTCACAAGTATTTAAGCATAGAATCTGAATTGGCATTTTGAATGAATAATTCATACTATTATGTGACCTGTAATTATTAGATCTAGAAATATTTTACAGTTTCATGGCAAGACTAGCTTGTCTACGAGTTACGTGAGCAATTGGATCGGGCAGCACTGCCCACGCCTTGTGTACGGCCTACAGCGATACGTAGTACATGTGTTAACAACTGCTTATCGCAATGGTAAAGCGCTCCTGTCAAAAGAGCAGCCACAGCCTTCTGTAGATATACTTACTCCTGTATTGGAAAAGTCCGATCAAGAGTTCCCTCAAGTGGACTTGTTGCCAATAAGCTATGTCTGGCTATTGTCGTGTACACTATCGCAGTGTTACCTCCAGGTACGTTGTCGCAGATTACGCAATACTAATCGATACTATTATGTCCTGCCAGTAAAGTATTTTGCATAAAGAGATTAATTATTATAGCCAATTAGTATTGTATACATAACTGGATCTACGTATCTATGTGTGCGATATGTATGTGTAGACCAACGATTCACCGAAGGACATAACTCACGCTTTGATAGCCAGAAGAACAGGCAGTATTTGTCCAAAGCATTGGACGTTACTATACAATAGCGGAGAGCATGGGACTGGAGCTAATCGCTTCCTTCACCATGTATTAGGTTACAGAGGTCCCACTCTGCTAATTATAAGAGCCGCTAACGTAGAGAGGAATGAGGAATGTCCGACGTATTGCGTATGCTCGGCCGTCGAGTGGCGAGAAAGTCATCTCTATTGGGGCGACGAAGACTCGATAGGCATTCAACTGATTCCGTCCTATAAAATCATGGAGAAAGGTCCGAAAGTATTATACTTGAACACGAATATCAGGGGTTACCCACATGGTTTACGATTCGGTAGCGATCCTCGTTCACCACTTATCAGTATCGACGAATCATTCCACTCGGTGACTATCGCCGGCGCGCCTTATCGCATTGCCAGTTTAGAAGTCTGGGGTTGTGGCGATACGAACCTAAGGTAATATCTTGCAAACTGAAAACTGTGAAATGAAGACATTTATTGACGCAAGGAATGATAACAAGAGATACTATTACATTTGCAGAGAGAAACAATTGGAAATTAAGAAGTGGCAGGTGAAAGAAGCAGAGAAACAGAGGGTTGTCAAGTTAAGTGCGAGCGATTGGCTGGATCATCCTGATCGTTACTTATTAGAGTTGGCCGGCAGAGCTTCTTACAACGAATCTAACAATTAGAGCCGCAAAAAAATAATGTGCGTGCTCAAATAACTGCTCATATTATTACTTTATTATTTTACTTTGTACATATGTATATAGCGTCAAAGATATTATCATCAGAATTTCTGTACTTATGTGGTGTACGAAGAACGTACATATGAAATGTGATTATGTGACTTACGTGAAATACAGGGACTTATGCTTGACGTACTTAAGCACAAGTGCCAGTTTGTAATTGTCTAGTTTTCTTTTTTTCAGTATTTCCTTATAAAATGATATTATTTTTTATATTTTATAAATGCCTTTCATTTAATGGATTTATTTATTATTTTTTAAAATATTTTTCTAAAATTTTTTAAATTTATTATTTTAAAAATTATATTTTTATCTGATTTTCACAAAATAACTTGGTAAATTTTATTTTAATAATCAATTTGCATTGTCTTGATATTTATATATAAAAAAAATACGCATATAAAGTTGAAAATAAATATATTTTTGTACAAAATTTCGTACATACTTATCTCGCATATTTGTATATTTCGCAAGGTTTTCATTGATTGTGCGTGATGCTATTTTATGAAACATTAACAAAATGCAAATATTAGTTTATCAATCTGTTTTTCATTGTTATAAAAAATCATTCAATTAGTCCTTGAATTCTTTATCACAATTGTTAATTCTATGAATGAGACTTTTCCAGCTAAAGTCTTCCTCACCATCTTGCAAATTTATCACATTCTTTTCCTCGATAACGTCAAACAGATTTTTAAATGGCACATATCTAAGTAACGTGACTTTATCAGCGATTATAATCAGCTTGTGCCTTGCGCGAGTAATGGCTACCGTCAAACGTCGCTGATCATCTAATATCTCAAATTCTTTCTTCGTGTCGCTTTCGACACTCTTCGTACATGAGTACAGTATAACATCCTTATCACGTCCTTGATACTGATCTACGGTGTTTACTTCCACTTCTTTATCTATGACCTTTTTTAATAAATTTATATGAGCATTGTAAGGCGCAATAATTCCTATATTTCTAGCGCACACGCCCGCCTCAATGAGTACCTGGACGAGACGCAAAGTAATAGCGACTTCCGAAATGTTGGAGTACGTCTGATCCAATATAACGTCTCTACTGCCAGATTCTACATTCAAATTGTAAGTTCTACCAGTATTGAGCACCACCACTGAGTCATCCAAGTTCCTGGAGAGTGCACTTCTCACCCACCTCTCACAAAACGAGAGAACTTGCTCCATATTTGTGCCAGTCAAAGTCGCGTTCTCTACCTGCTTGTTGCCGAAAGCTAACTTACCGCAATACGTCGTTTCATTGGCTAATCTCATGATATTTCTATTCATTCTGTACTGCTTCCACAAATTGATGGTGTTGTTGTCGCTATCTAGCCTAACAAACAGAGATTCGCCTGCGCCAAGTTTCGCGGCAGTCTTGTTTTTGATGATGGGCGGCAGCTGATCTGGGTCTCCGACAAGAATAAACTTGCGTGCGCTGTATAACGGTCGCAATACCGTAGGCAGCATGATTTGCGCGCTTTCATCAACTACACACACGTCGAAACTACGTCTCCTAAGGAGTGCGTGATACGCGCCGTAGCAAGTCACGCCGACAATACGTTTACTATTATAGAGTGTCTCCAGGTCCTCTGGCGAATCGCAACTCGCGAGCGCGTATTCTTCGTTCTTGCACGTTAACAGAGGATGGATGTGCTTTGTCGAACCGAGACGTAGAAAGTCGATGTTTCGTTCGAGCAGCTTGAGAAGAATGTTGTCCACCGCGCTGTGCGTGTGCGCGGTAATTAGCACGCTGGAACCCAACTCCTGCAGCAGCTCTATTAGAGCTACCAGTGTCTGCGTTTTCCCTGTTCCCGGCATACCTTTTATCAGAACATATTCTTGGGCAGCTACTGCCTTCAGCACGGCTCTCTGTTGATTCTCATTTAGATTGCTTATTATCCTGGCGCTAACTGACACCACCGAACGTGGCAATTTTTTCATAAATGTAGCTGGTTTCTTATCGATGACAATGCGTCGAAGCTTAACGTATATTTCATCGTTGTTCAACAGACCGGCTATGTTCGCGTAATTGAACGTAGACAGACCTGTAGAGGGGTATTTATCAATATGAAACGTAGAGTTTGCATACAACTGAGTAATATCTTTGTCCAATAGAACCTTAACAATATCATACGAAACATGCATTATATATCCAGCAGCTATATTAACTCGTGCATCCGTGCTAACCATAATATAATTGTCTTCGGTGAATGTACCGCCAAATACATTGTTCTCAATAGTCTCCTTCTTAATATTTACGCGTGCAAACTTATGCTGATATCTATGCTCTTGCTTTATCACTTTTCCGACAATCTTCAAATTGCAGATACATGTTCCTTTCGCCTCCCTCTTTTCGGGACTTGTCGTCCATACGCTGCTTAAATTGTTATTATTGTTCTCGTAACTTTCTTCTAATTGCAGTAATGCGATCCACTTCATAATGTAATCCAAATGTCTAGTCTCAATGTTATCCTGCACTTCTTTAAGTAGCGCTGTTAACGGATGCGACAATGACAAATTCGCGTTTGGGTCCCTTGCTAGATACGCACAGCACAGAGTTTGATAAGAACATCTGCTGCACGCACTGTGATGATTGATCGGTTCAGGCAATTCCATCGCCTTTAGGTCCGACTCTGAGTTTATGCTCCGTAGATCTTCGGGTTGTTTAGTGAAATAATGCGCCAAGATATTTCGTAGCAATATCAAGTCCCTCTTCTCGTGATGTCCGCTCTTAATTTCTTGCATCGCGTTTTCCTTTAGATATAACAGAAGTCCGGTATCGATATCTTGATCTCTGAAACCCATCATCATAAGATAGAGAATAACTTGGCCCTTGTGCTCAAGAGAATAGGAGGCTCTTCCAGTTTTTAACTCTAGAGGCATGATCTTCCTTCTTGAATTAATATTCACCTCTGCTGTTACATCTATTCTTCCCTTTATGCCCAGCTGCGGTATATAAACGGTCTCCTCGATGTCCTGTATGTTATTAATATTCCCTTGAAAGTTATCCTTTAGATTGCTTATGTGATGCTGTTTGTTACCTATGATATAATGCTGAATAAACTCGAAAATTTTTGGAGCATACTCCATCATACGTTTCCGACAATCCGCAAGCGACATTTCTGATGCGTAGAGATAATCTATCGTATCCTTCGATCGTAATATATCGTCCAACAGCTTGATCACGTCGGATAGGGTGCAGACATTCTCTCGCAATGCCTTTTGCAGCCACTGATGAACTAAAGATCCCACGGTCATCACGGAATAATCTGCGTTCAAATCTGGTAGCGACTCTATTTTTCTGAACTTCTCAGTCAAAATCGCTCGCCTGTTGCAAAATAAACCACCCATTATTGTCGTGCCAGATATTAACAAATCAGGCTGTGTGACAAGAAAACCATTATTATTATCTACAATCCATTGTCGCGAACCTTTTGTAGCCTGTATCGTTACAATATCGTTAATCTTTACTTGCGCATCTTTCCAAAATCCTGAACATGCAACAAAGTCAATATCTTCAGATTTCAAGTGCCGTACCGTTAAAATAGTGACTTTTGATTCGTGCTTCACGTCAATTATTTTACACCTTTCAAAAGTGGTAAAATTAATCTGCGCATGCCACTTTTGAGCAAAGAAATCATCAAGCTCATCTCCATTTATCATCACAGAAAAGTCTTCGAAAGATTCTGTTTTCTTTAAATCATGTAATTTAGCTTTTCCATGCTCAGATGTTTCCACAGCAGACTCCAAAGTAACAATATTTAAATCTTGTTCTTTAAGAACATGACTATTATTATGAGTAACATCTGAAACATTTACACTTTTAAGAATAACAGGATTTTGTAAAATATTTACACTTTGCTCGCTTTTTACTGTAATATCACCTTCCTTTTCAACTTTCTGAAGTACTGTATCTTTGCATGTAGTTTCATTTTCCTTAAAATTACTATACGGTTCTTCGAAGTCTTTCAATATAGATAATAATACTGAATCATCATGTGATTCGAAATATTCTGTCTTTAGAGTACAACGTTCTTTTAGTGACTCTTCACTTAAATTACATTTCTTTTTGCTCACATGGGATTCTTCTTCAAACGCGTTATCTCTTTCCTTTCTTTTTCTTTCAATCGTCGTTTGAAATGAGCAATTATTATCTGATATAACTTTATTGTCATCTATCATAACTTTTGGAATTTTTGTAAAAAACGATGATATTTTTGTTTGAGATTTATCGACATTATTAGTAATCTGCAAAAAAAAACAGAGAAAATTTTGGAATATTTTATCACACAAATTCATTTTAGTCTATCCTTCAGATAAGTACAAATTGCTATGTATTGGTACCTTCTGTTTTAACTATGCTAAATGTCTTCCTAACAAACGCCAACTAACAATAAGATAACTATTAATTATAATTTCCTACTGAACAATAATTAATTACAGTATATTCAGTAAAGTATAATATAAAGTTTTAAGTTATATAATACATAACAGTTAAACAAAAGACTCTTAAACAAGCCGAAGAAAAATCAAAAGAAATAACAGAGAAAGAAAAGAATCTCCTGATTTACTTTTTCCCTTTTTGCCTAACATCTATAATAAATTTAAGAACATCACTAAAGATCTCAAAATTAAATTATTTTTTTTTAGCTTAAAAAAACTCAATTTAATAATAAAAGGACAAAAAGTTGTTCTCTTGCAACAATTTAAGAAAAACGTTGTTTATAAAATTTTCTACAGATTGCAATGTATCTTATGTAGGGCAGACTGGGAGGAAATTAAAAACTAGAATTACTGAACATAATGATATTAATAAAAAATCAAACAATTTATGTTATATCTGAACATAGAGTCCATTTAGACTATGAATTTGATTGGGATAATGTCAAAATCTTGGATGACGAAAGATATTTGGGAAGAAGACCGATATCAGGAATGCTCAACATTCATACAAGAGAACGGATTAAATGCAAAATGAAACAATGAATTCTTACATTATGCATACCTCAACATTCTAAATAATTTCAATAGTTTATGACAACATATATATGAGTTTACTATTTATTTATATTATTTTATTTTTATGATTCTTTTATAATCACATGTTTTCATACTTTAACTGTCATGTATAAGGTTTCTGTCAAAGGGTACAGCAGGTAGGTCACATAATTTTCAATTAAATCACTTATAATAAATAAAATATAGCAATTACATTCACTCTAACACTCGATGATAGATGTTCTTCTATCTATGATTTGGAAATTTCATAGGAATCCTTGTTGCACCCTTTGACTTTTCATGCTGATTTATGTTCTGAAGTTAATTATTGACAACGCTGAAGATGGCTCGAATGGAGTCGAAACATCTGATCAATTAATGTATTTGATAAGATCTCAGAATACAGAATTTTATCATCACATATAAAGTACCACGTTAGTGAGTGCTCCCAATCAACTTTCACTCTCCTTATTGGCATAACAGTTATATTATCAAGTAGGAAATTATAACAATTCTTCTGTTACCCAGAATGATTTTTCGATAACATATAGATAACTAATAATTGTTAAATTATGTTACATTGTTAGTTAATGTTTGCTGGGTTGTATCTCTTCTAAAATTCAGAACCGGAAGAAACATTTTAAAATATTATTTTATAATAATTTTCAATATTATTTTATAAAAACAGTAGTAGGAAGTATATAAAAAAACAAACAAATAGTAATCAACATGTAAATGTAAATCGTAAATAAATAAAATACATTTTGTTTACCTTCCTCTGTGACAACTGACGTTTCTTCATATTTGCACGTAATGAAATGACTCTACATGTATTTTATGAATGTCAGATTAAAATGCCGTCACTTGTAGCTTAATACTAACGTTATAGTAGAGTTTAAATCCTATAAATATCTTATTCTAAGTTCTATCAAATCCTACACAGAATTTTCGTTCCCGCGCAAACATTTTTCATGAACGTCACCGTCAATTGCCATTTTAACCATTAAAGTACCTTTTCATGACGGCGATTAGTCGCAACTTTTGTAGCGATCTGAGAGTCACGTGACTCCATCAGTCGCTTGAAAGTCGTCGCTGTCAGTCGCTTCTATAATTCGATTTGATTAAAGTTGTAGCGACAATAGGCGATAATCGCTACAATTTGAATTTATTTTATCAAAATGAATTTATTAAACCATGCAATTCCCGTTCTGCACAAATAGGATCCAAAATCTTTTTTTTTGTATGTTTTTCTATCTGCAGACATAATTGCAATAAATGCTGCATTAAACAGTCGTTTCTTTCTAAGCTCTTCTTGCTTTTTCATAATTTCTAAACATTTCTTTTACCACTCATGATATTCTTGTATATATTTAACAGTGCGACTATACTTGGCAGTAAAGGACATTATGATTGGAGCAAAAAGAATTGTAACGAAAGTCAATCATGATGTTTGTAATCACTACTTTTCATCGCGCATTTCAAATCATTCTTTTCGAAGAAAATTTTACTCAAAGTATATAGTACATGTAACGTATATTAGTATATCGAATAAAATTTTTTACTCGGTGATATTTTGGAATGTAGTCTTAATATTTTCTCCATTGTGCACAGAGCTTAATGGCTTCCGCATACAGAACTCGGCAATGCTTGGCATAGACGGACACACAACGCATGCGCAAATATGCGCGGATATGGATCTCACGTAGTGTATGTATCTTCTTATGCCCCCTTCATGCTAGTAACCGTGCTGCAAGCAGTCTGGAATTTGCATCACTGATGGATATACTTACTTTGTGATGTTATATTCTTGTCATTTAAAACAATACGAAAAATGTATGAAAAGGAACAACAGATTATTGCATAGAGATTGTTGCATACGTAAATTAAATTGTTCTTGTTAATTATAAATTGTATTAACCTGTAACTTCCTAAATTTGGTGAGTACAAATGTCACGCAGGATGCACTATAATATTTCTAATTATCTTCGATATGTGTAGGTTATGAATGTTGGAAAATGCGAAAATAAATATTTCATAATATTTTTTATGAAAAATATTTAATGAAAAGTACATCTTATAATAGAACGAAGTATTTTTATACAAGATATTAAATATAGACGGAAGATTATAGTTAGGCAAATGACGCAACGAATGATTGTGAATCTTCTGCCGAAAACTCAGCCTTTTTTGAAACCGACTCTGCCACTGTACATGAACAGTTATTCGCCCTTTGTTAAGGCCATTTTGCAGAATAGAATGATGTGCAAGCATGTAGAAATAGTGGATCATACCTGTAAGATATCAAGTTACAATGATTACCTCACAAATTACAAGCCAATTCACCGGATCTTGAGGAATACTCTTCAAGAATTACTGGGTATAACAAAAATAGATGTCACAAAAGTTATCGAGGAACATCCACAGCTGAAGAAGAGATCTAGGGCAAATATTCTGAACAATTATTATAATCTAATAAAGGCTGATATACAAAAAAACACTATCATAAACAACATCTGGTTACTGACACACGAAAACGATAAATTGACAGATAAGCTTAACTGTATCAAAGTTCTAAATATAGATAACAACCAGCTTGTACCATGGCTATGCTTAACTCAAGATGAACTAGCAAACTATGTACTTTATACTCAAGAGGATATGGAGTCTTATACATATAACAGACTAGAATATCTTTCTCATAAATTTGAGGTATAAGTAAAACTAATCTAAGAAGTTCCAAATTATCAAATGTAATTATATATAATATTCTTGATAAACTAATACTGCAAATTATTTTTGAGACATTCTATAAAAAAAAATTTTTCTTAAAAAAATTATATATACTACTTTAGAACATGAAAGATGAACTTTGATTGTTTATAGAAAAAAAATTTGAATAGAATTAAGATAGAAATTGTTGGTTAGTGATATATTATGTAGCATATTATATAGCATATTTTATGAATACAAAATTATATATTTTTGTCCAGTGTAGCATACAACGATTATGTGAAATAACAGTACCAAATTCATTCTTATTAAAAATACCAATTTCGTCTATAGATAAAAAAGCAAACATATTGTATGGTAAGTTAACAAGCAGAATTAAATAGTAAGGTTTAATAATATTACTGATACTACAGGCAGCTGTGAAATTTTAATTATTTGTGGCATTAGATATTTCCTCACAAATATACTATATACAAGATTATGGCTTGTCTCCATTCTATTTTTTTACATTCTACATAATGGTCACAAATATTTATTTGTCTTCCAATAAATATTGCATGTAGCAAAACATTCATAGCAACTTGTATACATATTTGTAAATTGATAAGTAAATAAATAGTAAAATATAAAATTATATATTTCTAAAAAGATTAATTTTAAATAACTTTACATTCTGTAGAATATAATATAAAAAATAAAGATATATTAAAAGATATATGGGTTCTTCGCTACAGTGAAAATCATATACGTCATAGATGTGAATTATATAAAGATACAGGAAGGTTAAAGATGAAAACATGGGCTATACGATGTTCGCTTCATGTTATATCAAGGTAAGTTAATAAAATATTAGGTGTTGGAATTAATTCGTAGCGTTTTTTAATGAAAGAATGTTATTTATTTCACATGAGCATTAAAAAATACATTAATGAAAGTACTTCCCATCACTTGTAAAACGCTACGAATTAATTCCAACACCTAATAGAATATGAGAAATATCTTATTTCTAATATTTTTTATTATATTTTTTATGAAATTCTATATTATTGTATCAAATTACTTTTATTTTTAAAAAATTACATTTCAAATATTGTCATTTTATTAACTTCTTAATAACTTAGTTTCCATTAACTTTTTGCATTTATTTATATATACATATTTATTTATTCTTTAATTCATACAAAATGAAAACAAATATTTAAACAAATGTATTGCATATATATTGGAATATCTAAAAATAGAGAAATATCATAAAATATCATTTGTTTATATGTAGGGCCATTCAAAAAAATAAGGTGGAACGTAGCTTACTGCAACATTATGGAAATATTAGCGACTATTTGCAAAATAAGTTGAAAGTCGACGATGAAATGCTCAATTCAGTGATCCAGAAAGTACCAAATATTTTACGGGTGAATATAGCGAAATTGAATCAGTTAATCAATATACTACATCAGAATGGCATTACTAGCGACGAAATATTACGACATGAACGAATCTTTTATTTCAATATAAATACTATACAGAATCGAATTGCGATTTTAAAGAAGGCAAATCTTGCTCCAAAACTTACTATACTAACACAAGCTGAGCGAATCTTTGATCAGTATGTAAAATTTATAAAAATAATGTATAGAGAAATTTATATATTAGGTGTTGGAATTAATTCGTAGCGTTTTTAATGAAAGAATGTTATTTATTTCACATGAGCATTAAAAAATACATTAATGAAAGTACTTCCCATCACTTGTAAAACGCTACGAATTAATTCCAACACCTAATAGCATAATATACAAAACAAATCTCTAATTGATTATTTTTCATAGGTATATAGAAGCGAATAATGAACGGCAGAAATTGTTGCAAGAACATGGAAGCGTTAAGAATTACTTAATCAACACATTAAATGTGGAGAAAAAGCTTCTTGAAGAAACAATTACAAAATATCCATCTATTTTACGAGTGAAATTTAAAAAATTGATTGAATTGCTCGATTTATTGCAACAAAATGATATAACAGGTAACGATATAGTAAGTCATCCAAAAATTTTTTATTTTAATATTGAAACGTTACGTAAGCGAATTGAAATACTGAAAGAAAACGGTATATCACCAAGAATCAATTTATTAATATGTGAGCAAAAAATTATAGATCGGTATGTAAAACTCAGATCACATAATTCGAAAAATATTAATACAGATTAATATTTATTAAATTTATTTCTTTAATTTAACTATTTTTATAACGCGCAAATTGTAAAATATAAGAATGTATCTATATAAATTTCAAATATAAAGTAAATATGAAATAAAAGAAATAAGCAAATAAATCTTTTAACTATATTATTAATACAACTCGGAATATATCAAGTAAAACACGATTAATTATCGTTCATATCAAATACTGATACAGCATTATATGTTCTGGAATTTCTTATAGATAATTCATTTATTTCTTACATTCATGATTTGTGAACAGAGATAGTTTTGCTAAATTGATATTTTATTAGGTTTCCATTTTTTGTTAAATTAAAATACTTCATTTTTTTATATTACTTTATTTCATTTATTAATACATATACATATATGATTAATCAATACATATATTTTAATTCAATTAATACATATATTTAATATAGTTTCAAAAAAATTTACCCTCGACTATATGGATATAAAATTTTTGGCCTTTTTCCTCTTATTTTGAGTAATTTTCTTTTAGAGAAATAAAATTTGATTTTATGCACACAATAACATCTCGACACAATTACCCATCTATTCATATTTATTTTTTTACGTTCATTTTTTTACATTTATTTATTAATACATATACATATATTTATTAATACATATACTTTAACAGAGTTGCCACAGAAAATGAATTTTTAAATTCCCTGACTTTTACCGATTTTTCAGATAAAAATGGAAAATTTCTATGACCAATATAAAATATGTGAAAATTTCAATATTCAAAAATATGTAAAAAAAATTGTAACACTTAAAATCAAAAATTGTAAGAAATAATACAAGGTAGCTTTCTTGAAAACTTAAAAGAAGCTTAATAGCATAATAAAATTTTGGGAGCAAATTCAAGCTAACAAAAAATAAATTAGTATTGGAAAAAAGAATGTAGCTATATGACAAAAAAGAGCGATCAAATGAAATTAATGAATAAAATATAAATTTTAATTATTTTTAAAAAATTATTTAAAGTACATGAGTTTTTTACTAAAACCTCAGATATATTATTTAAAGAATTATAAAAATTATTTAAAATAGGAACAGTTTAAGCGAATTGTGAACAAAGTTTAAAATTTTAGTCTCTTTTTGTACTTTCCCCTAACTTTTCTCGATTTTCCATGACCAATTTTTTCAATTTCCCTGACTTCTCGGTTTTCTAGATCTGTGGCAATTCTGATTTATTAATACATATATTTTAATTAATATAATTTCAAAAAATTTATCCTCGACTATGTGAATGTAAAGTCTTTGGGCCTTTTTCCACTTATTTTGAGTAATTTTCTTTTAGAGAAATAAAATTTGATTTTACGCACATAACATCCTCAACATAATTATCCATCTATTCGTATTTATTGTTAAAGGAACATACCAACAATGAAAAAGATTTTCGTATTCGACAAATAAAAAGAAGTTTTGTAGAGAAGATTATCCCGCAAAAAAAGAATAAAAGATGTTTTTTATTGCTATATTAAACTGCATTAGAACTGCTCTCTCACTTTTGCCAAATATTAAATATATATCTATCTTTAAGTTTCAAAAAGTTCAGCTATAGAAAAAAAACCTATAATTTGAGTATGTTTGATTTAGAATTAAAGTTCCTGTTTGCTCACAAGTACTATCTCCGATTGTGAGAAGCAAGGCAAAATAGAAATTTTTGCAAAATATATTAATATAAAAATATGTTTCAATAACACTTACAATCGATAAAAGCCACTTATGAAATATATCGAACGCTCTTTTTGTTTCATTAATAAATAATCATATATCTGGAAATAAATTATACATATATATTGTATAATCAAAAATGAGAAAGAAGCTATGTTCATAGCTATGACAAATAATATAATAAATTAATAGAAATAAATATGATTTAATGATATATGACAAATATGATTTCTTCCTGAAATAAGAAGTTAATTTTTCTTTATATTTTATTGGAGACATTACAGTGTCTTTTAATAAATCTATTCTAGCGATAATAAAAATATTAAAAAATATTTCTATTAAAATATAATTTATTTTCAGATTGGTCACAATTTTTATTATTTTCTCGCTTCTGAGGTTATAATTGCAGTGATGACAAACAAAATGAAGAATAATTATTTTTACTTCTCTTCATTTTTAATACCTAAAATATGTAGAAGTCCCTAAAACTTTGCATCCACTAGTGTATAACATTCACAGTTAAACACTACAAGATAGACGAATGATATTGTACCAATCTTTTCTAATAAATGCACATTAAAAAAATTAACTTTCTAAAATCATCCAATCTTTTAAAAATACAAATGATAATAAAAGATTTCTTCATTTATTTGTCTGCAGCATGTAGGTTATGACCATTGATTTCTGTCATTCCGCTGTTTCTGCAAAGTTTAAATAAATTCGATAAGTGATTGTTGTTTACAATTGAATAATTCCCATGGCATAATTCCTTTTTTAAAGAGGATCCTATTAAATCGTGATGACCAATTAACTTTGTTCCTATTTTTAAATCATCTAACCATATTGTATTTCCAAGATGAAGATGAACCTGTAAATAATTCATTCATATATTTTCTTACTCTCATATATTTTTCCTTCATAATCATGAAAGACTCTTACTTCTCCGATAATATAAGACCTTTCATCGAAATTTTCTGAGAACCACTTGTGCACCTGTTCATTAGTATAATGATTCCACATATATTCCTCATCCCAAGGAATTAAATTAGTTAAAAATATTTCAACAATATGTGTTGGAAGATCTAATAATTCCTTTGGGATGTGCATTAGTTTACGTACCTAAAATATAAAACCGAATAAATTTATAAGAAGATAAGTTATAAATAACACTTTCATAAATTCACATAATCATATCTCATATTTAATCTAAAAAATGATCATTTGTATTATTTTTTTGAAGAATATGCATATTGTTAAAAGAAAATGTTTAATATAAAATTTGAACATAATGTAAACTAAATAATATAAAATAATCTTACATTAATGTATTCATGTACAATACCGCTGTCAATACATCTCACATCTACGAATATTTCATCTTCAGAATAATCTCTGTCATATTTGATGCGTGTAATTTGCACTCGTTTAAATGTATCGATAGTTTCCTCCAAAACGCAGATATCACCTACATTTGTCGAAGTAGACATTTTCCTATAATTGATTATTAAGAAAATATACGATTTTTCTATAATTAATTATACAAAGAAAATATATAGAAATTCAGGGAGTATACGGACAAATATTTTTTTTTTAATTGTGAAATTGCTCAGTACATACCTGTTTTCGATATTTCCATAATAACTTTGTATTTTACCCGTATTTTGCATATACTCTATATTGGAAAATGTTATTTTTTCCGATTCATTAGAATGTGGAATATGTTCAAGAATTCTTGCAGAAAAATGCGTCGTATCATGAATATATGTCACTATCAACTTCACTTTATCACCTCTGTATGAACAAAAGTATTGAATAATGAAAAATATTGAATAATTAATATAATAACTTAAAAATATTGAAAAATGAATATACGATGGACTAATAGAAAATTACTTACATCTGTATATTTGTCATTGGTGCATCAATTTCAGAAAGAACACAATGTCTAAATACACAGACATTTCGTGTTCGACAGAAGCCAAATGATTTTACATTATCACATAGAGCATATACTTTCTTATTCCTCTCTAACTCAAGAGCTTTTCGCTGAAATCATATTTAATTATAACTAAAAATCATAATAAAAATATTTTGAAAAATAACATCAGCTTACCTGAATGTAGTCAAGTATTTTCGGTTGTATTGCAATGTTCATTCGTTGCATTATTTTTACTATACTTAATAACTGTATAGTATCGTTCTCGTCAACAATAATACTAATTTTACAGTTAGATGAATCCTTAAATTTATAGTTATTAATTATAGAATATTTAATATAAGCGTAATAATTTATTTACAGTGTAAAATAAAAGAGCAATCTTAAGTTCTCATTTAATAATTACCTCCGTTAAATTATCTAAAAGTAAAGAAAACCTATAATTGAATTGATTTTTTAATTTTGATAATACAGAAAAATGTATTAGCCACTGAATATTAGTAAAATTCAGATCAGATAGGACTGGATCAGTACATATCAGTACTGGATAGGAGCCACAAACACATGCTATCCAATTTTCTCGTAAAGCTGCAAAAAATAAAGGAATTAATATATAACTGTCAAAAAGGCAAAAAAAGAAACATTAATTAAATCAACAATAAAATAAAACGTCAAGTATACGATAGAGCATTTCTTAATGTGATTAAAATTTGTCATTGTACCTCGTATAGCAGATGATTTCATTTTGTCATGAATTAGCAGAGTTTTCTTTGTCAAAATTAAAAAAGTATTTAAATCTTCAGCTTCTTCGGCGTTCGTACATATTATCGCTGTTCTCATCGTAAGGTACTCATTTTTTGACATTAGATCTAACATTGAAATAGTTTCGAAATATTAGAAATATAATATTTTGTGTGTAATTTTTTAATAAACGCTGATACAGCCAAATATTCATGTTTATAAGTTTTCTTACCGAATAATTTTTGACTCTTGTATCCAGTGTTTACTTGGTACAGTTTTAGATTTACAGATTTAAAAACCACAGCTTCTATAAATGACGCGATGCATATATATGGATTATACATCACTAGATGTACAAATTTCTTAATCTCGGGCGTCCAGGTTGTTGCCGATACAATTATCTGCAATATTGGTCTATCATTTTGTTGTGGTTCACGATTCTCGATTATCTTGTGCTTTTTGAAGAGTTCTCCTACCTATTAAAAAAATTTAGAAAACTTTAGAAATTTTATCTCTATGCTAAGTAATAATACTAAATATATTACAAGTGTTCACTGACCGAATTGTAATATTTATCCAAAATTACATCGACATTGTCAAGTATTAAACAAGAAAGTCGATCAAATGACAATATACCTTTATTTTTATTTAAGAATCTGACTAGATATCGCGGTGTAGTCACTAAAATTTGACAACCATTATATATCATTGCCTGAAACAAAAATTGAAGAATGAGAATAGTTTCTTATATTTTCTTCACCTTTTCAGTATAATATTCGCCGCTTAGTGTTACCAAATCATTGATAAGGCGTAATAGCATTTGATTATGAAGAAATTTTCATACATCATCTTTTTTTAGTGTTTTCTAGATAATTTATTTGCACAACAATTTTCTTCTATTGATAATAGTAGAAAAAACACTTAAAATATGTTTAAATAAAAAATTAAAATATAAATTATTTTATTAGTAGAAAAACAAATAAGTAAAATTCAATTTAGAAAAATTGGTATAATAAATGTTTCAAAGTGTGAAATTACAGCTAAACCGACATTATATTTTCTGCGATATTGTGTATTACACTTTGTCATTTTTATTACATACAATGTATCTTTTTTTTTTAAAGAAACTAATAAAAATATATCTTTTAATAGATAAAATGAAAATCAATAATAATGATAACATGTGTTTTATTTCAAATCAAATGATTGACGCGCAATCATATATGAACGCCTAGTATGGCTGTCGATTAAATCGACGATCATACCAAAAAAGGTTAAAAAGATATTGAACATTATTGTAAAAATATTGATAAATTTACCGCTACTGATCTATCCGACTTGCCATTAAATGCAGCAACACATTTTATATTAGTAAAAGTTCGCAGAAACGACTCGCACAAAGATTGAACGGAAATTACTTCACAAGACGAGGCACATAAAATCAATGCTAACGGCTGAGTTCCATTACGTATTTCCTAAAACAGATATCAATTATTTTAATCAATTAAAATAAAGATTTTTTTATACATATGCATGTATGTATGTGCAAATTTTATTTATATAAATTTTTAAGAAAAATATTGTGCTTATGCTATGCTTGAAAAGATGATTAAGTTCTTTGTGGTACTCATATAAAATACAAAAAATATTTTACATGTAGACGCAAAGCTATTTGACCGCAAACAGCCATTACGCATCCGCTCGTTTTACCACACTGTGTTGATCCAATAGCAACAACGTTTAATCCATTGTTTATAGCAGGCCATATGTAAGACTGAAGTTTTCTTGGTCTGGAAGATTTGATGTTCTCATCCCAACCCTAGAGAACAGAAAAAACAGAAAAATATTAAACATAATTATATTTTTACTATATTCTTAATCAATCAAAATATATTTATACTCATATACCTGATGTATTCCTTTAGGATATCTGAGGTCTGTAATATCACATAAGATGTCACAGTCTATTGAGCTCTGTACTAAAATCTTTTCACTGATAACAAATATAAAAATCATGAATAATTCTATATATAATTACATATATATTTATATGAACATGTACCTGAGAAAGAATTTTGTGTGAGTATTATTAGTTCCTTTGATGCGTGTTCCATTGTATCTTTTTTCTTTATTTCTTGAAAACTTTACATATAAAATGTACCATCGTTTTTCTTTAAGTTGTGAGTGTGTTTCAACTAGTTTCAATAATTCTGGATATAAAATTATGAAATTGCATGTTATTTGAATGTTATTTAATCTATTTTAATAGATTTATTATAGAAAAATCTTATGAAATTCATATACCTCCTTCTATGTAAACTGCATGATAATTAAGAAATAAAGCTTCACTCAATGACATGACAACTTTATCAATGACAAAATAGAATTCTCCGTATTCTATTCCATTACTTTTGTTTGTGATTAAATGATCAAAGTATACCATTTTACATGCACTGAGAAGACGTTTTGTAAATTGAACTGCTTTCTCGGTCCATTTTTCTGCAACACTTTGGGTAATTGCAATCTTTTGAATGTTTTTATTTTATTACACATCAGATATGCGCTATTTAGTTTTTTGTTTTTTTACTTTTTATTATATTAGGTGTTGGAATTAATTCGTAGCGTTTTACAAGTGATGGGAAGTACTTTCATTAATGTATTTTTTAATGCTCATGTGAAATAAATAACATTCTTTCATTAAAAAACGCTACGAATTAATTCCAACACCTAATATTTGCTTAAATTGTTTACTTGCTTATAAATGACAATATAATGCATAAATATGTATGTATAAATATTACACTATAACTCCTTGATAGACGTATATAACGTTGATAGACATAGCTACCAAAACATGCAATGATAGCTGTTCACGATGTACTGTAAGATACTCAATTAGCATCACGGAAGCGGCAACAAGAAACTTATATCGATTTTTAACCTTGATATTTAATATGCCTATTTAAGTAGATTAAAAAAACGATTATAACAGAGAAAACTCACACTGCTATAGTGTTGCAACCATTTAAAATAGTGCTTTTTCTCATGCAGATCGGTATAATATTATATACACCAACAGTTTTCGTTAAATACTTATCAGGGATAAGATTTTTTGGAAGTATATGAAATTTATCCCTAGTTAATCCAATACTAATTCCATGATCCACTAAAAGAATTATATAATACATCCCATACTCTTTTTTAATACCAGTTATCAAACCTCGACAAACATATGATGGTAATTTTATCTCAGCTTTAAAACTATCTTGTACAAGAACCATCTGCGAGATAAATATAAAGATTAACCATATCTTACAAAAAACTTAATATTTGTATAAGATATTAATTAGATTATTAACTATTAACATTTAATACACTATTAACATTCAACTGCAATATAATAACTTACGTCACCAATTTGAGCATCTTCTGTATTAGATTTTCTCTTCAAAAATTCATTTGTTTTCATAAAATTTAATAACCTTTCTTCAATCTTGCAGAGCGTTTCTGTATGTTTTTCAACTTCATAAGCTCTCATGCAATATGGATTTTTTACATTTCTTATTTTTATTGCCTTAGCTGTATATCTAAAACTAAACGAAATAGATATAATAATTAAATGATTCAATTTATTTAACACACCAATAAATATTCAGTTTGTGAACATTACCTTGATGCTTATGAAACTTCATCTTTTGAGATTCATAGTTCTGAAAAATAAAGACTTCGCAATAGTTTATATAATTCTATTAAAAATTTTTTTATTACTTAATTTGGCTCATTAACATATGATACATATAAGTTGCTTTCCTATTTTTTTATATGCAGTTCATATTTCTATTTTTCGTGTGCCTTTTACACTTTATCTTACCTTTGGATTGTTATATGTAGTTGTTGAAGTTTTAATAGGAATCCTTTTTCTAACAGGAACCGGCATTGTTTGATAAATTTATAAAAAAAGACTACAATTGTAAGTTATTTCCTTCAGTCTCTTTTCAAATCTTTGATTACAAGAACTTTGCAATCAATCTTCACCAACTTTTTTGAATCATTAAATATTCAAATATACACAAATATACCCTGCAAAAATTCATTACATGTGAAAAGTTTTTTCTTGAAAAATATATTTAATAAATAAAATTATAAAAAGCAGGTAATTTTCTTCAATGATAATGTGCTGACTCGAAAAAACTTTAGTTCAAGATTTGCAACGATTCAAAACAGCATAATACGATAATCGTTGTAAATAAAGAATAACCTCAAATTAGATCCCTGCTAACAATAAGAGTAATCAATAAGAAATTGCTGCGAACAGCATGATCTTTGATTACTGCCATGGATGAAGGATACTTCTGTTTTCGTATATAAGAAAACCTCGGAATTTTCAAATAGGTCTCTTTCTTTTTCTCTAGCCTTTACGCTGCTCCAAAACCGTACCTTTGGCGTGAACTTTGGTCGAGCCCAGTCAAGATCAATCGTTATATTTAATTAAATCTCACGATACTGATTACCGACACGTCCCAGGATCAAAATTTCAATAGAAGACAGAGGAAGAAACACGAAGGAGGCGATTATAAATATCACGCCTGACAATATAGTTGCTTTCCATTTACACACAAGTGAAACTGAGTCTAAAGTAAGCTGAGTATTTCATATTCAGATTTTGGATGCTTTCCATTTGACTATAAGTTACAATTGTTTGATACAATTGTTCTATCTTTATCACTCTCTGAATGTCAACAAAGATAGAACGACACTTGTGTCGACTTGTGTCAATTTGTGTCATCAAATGGAAAGCACTCATTAATGATGACATCATTATTTTCTTACTATAAAAAGTTATTACATGACAACACGGATTCATAACCTCACTAAAGTGAGTTTACGAGATTCACTAAAGCACGATCTCGATCTTGTGCAGATTATAAACAAAAACTCAATTAAATCTCACTTATTAGAATGCAAAAGAGACAAGCATTCAACTGAGTTATTATGAAATCACAAGTAAAAATTATCTGAAAATCGGTATAAATGAAAAGCAACTAATATATTCGACAATTTCACAGCAAAACAACACATGTACATATAGACCTTATAAAATATGGACTATGGACTAGCAGTACACATTGCACGCAGGATCGTGTCTGAAGACTGTTGATCTATTTGCTGTTCCTACACTAGACTGCACTAGCACTCTCTTTCTCACTTTCAACAAATGTCAACTATCTATACCTATCTCACTTCAAGTTCTAAAAGTGTACATTAGTTCAGCCACAGAAAACAGACTTTGTACTTCTTTTTCTAAGGATGAAATTACATCATGCGGAAAACGATTGCGGAATAGAGAATGCGAAATTCATAGAAGCAACCAATTAGCATTCTTCTGCGTTATTCCGAATAATGCTAATTGGTTGTTTGAATGACGCATTCTTTATTTCGCAGTCCTTTTCAGCACCGTGCGATTTCACCCTAAGGGTGCAAACCCATGCAGCGGAATAGTGGAATGCGGAACGAGAACAGAACCAATCACGAGCGTTCTGCAATTTTCGTTATACGGTTTCGAATCCCTTTATCTCATCTGAAGCGCAATGAGCGTAAGCGGAATCAACAAGTCCATAAATGACGTTTAAATATTGTATTTGTCATTTATTTTTCATTATTATGTATCTAAGTACAGAATTAAATGTATTTCTCATTGAAAATAACGATTAAAGATGTTAAAATTTATAAAATTAGTCTTAATGTGATTGCAACCTTTATGAAATAACGATTTATGATTAGCTGCGCAAAGTCTGTGATGCGCTCATTACGCTGCATGGGTATTGAGGGTTCACGTTTCAATGTAACGAAACTGGCGAAATAACAACGTGGTGAGTACAGAGATAAGTTATTAGGTAATTATCTAGAAGACATTCCTTACTTTCAATTTCAATAAAATTACGCTTATTCGCGTTTTTGCATGAAATGAAATCTGGTAGTTAAATGTTGTGCTTAGTGAAATTTAATCGTTAAAGTTAACGACTATTTAGTTTACTGGTAACTACTATCAGTTACCAATAAAGTTACCAAAAAAGTGACTTGCAACTTTAACTTCGTTATAAATAATGAGTTACTTCCATTCCCTGATAATATTATATATTGTATATTAGTAGACCCGTAGCTCCTATTGTATTGATTCGAAACAGACAGAAAACATTTTTTAAGTTTATAAGATGTATACGCTGCGTGATGGTGCAATCTGACGGTGTTGGTGTGATACTTCTAGGGTGGTTAGAACATTTTTATATTTTTATAGTATCACTTAGGTTTTACTTTTTAATTCGATAGAATTTAACTTGATCGGTTAATATTGTAGCATCTGGATTTTAATTTTTTTATTTAGTTTTCTTCGAGGAGTAATAATTTTTGACAGCATTAGAGCTACCATTGTTTGAATTAGAACAAGAAGACCTTCAATAAGAATATCCTTGAAGAAAAATTAAAACTACTATTAAATGGGTTGGACACTTAGGTTTCGAGAAGCACATATATTCTTAGCACCTTTTTTATCTTTTTTTGGTAAAAAAAAAAAGGTAAATTTGTATTTATTATGCGCTAAAAATCCTCTAACTCGAATATTAGGTATACAAAACGTGAAGAAAAGGAATATAGGTCTAAAAAAATAACAAGATCTTAAATATACAAATGAGAAAATGCATTTATTCACGTACGAAAGGGATGCAAAAGGAAATTACAAGAAATTTACGCGTATATAACACTAAAAATGCATTTACCGCCTACTTCGAGCTACCAATCAATTTTTTTATGGTGAATTGCGTAGCACTACAATCGCGGCTCGTTAAAGAGAGATAGTATCGGTTAGTGTAAATTATAAATAATAAACGTACGACGAAGAGGGAAAATACGCGATACGCGTGAAATATCGTCGTGTTCAAAATTATCGTACTTTGATGTACGATGTGATGGTCCGCTCGCCCGAGTCCGTTCATCGGATCCTTTTATAGACGGATTCCTGGATTTCGGGATGCGACAAAGTTGAGAAGCTCATCGCTGTCCTCGCATACGAAGGGCTTCACGTGATGGCAGGCCACATCGTGCCACTTGATGCCATCATTGTAGAAGTTGTTCAAGATGGACAGGCAGGATTCGTCGTTACCCTACAAATGAACAAAATTAAATAAGACCTGAAATTTAAAGTTTCTTCGAAAAGAAGACACTGAAGTTGAAATAATGTGTTTCTATTAAGCCTTTGTTTCAAAATTTTTTTTGGAAAAATCAATTTTGCTAAAGCACTTCAAAATTTAGTTAGATACAAATCTGCATGAACGTATCATGGAATTTTTTTCGAGAGAAAGGGATTTCTATCATCAATTCATTACATCTTTGTTCTTTGCTTACGTTAAAGAAGGATGAAATAATTCACTGTGTTACACACTGTCTATGTCCTTGCTGGGAAACGCCCAATTTTTTTAGATCATCAAAATAATTATGTAGAACGCTCAAACTTGTTACTAGAATGTCGAAAGTTGTGTTTATAGTATTGCTGTTACTTGAGATTCCTAATTATTTTCAGATTTGTATTTGTATTGCTAAATTATAGATACTTTAGTAAAATCGTTCTTTCCGTGTATTTTTAGAACTTGATGCATTCCACATATTATTTCAATAATATTGCATCATTCCAACAATATTGCAAACATTGCTGCAATATGTGCTATAGAATATTAATTAAAAAATATCATTACATTAAAAAATACTTTATTTGATTGTTAAAAATTAATGATGATTTACACAATTTTGAAACAAAAATATAATTTCCTATATGATTACGAATAATTCTTTGCATTTATAAATGAAATATATATATTTAAGTAAAATTTTTACTTTAAAATATATACTTTTCTTTATGTAACATTAAAAAATAAAAGCTTTTAAGAAATTGTGTAAAATTCTAAGCGTATACCAAGCGTATCTCAATTTTTCTCAAGATGTTTTTATAAAATTTTTAAAGATCGAATTGCATGATCTTAAGTAACTTTTATATCTAATTGATAGTGGGAAGTCACGAGAACGAGACGCTAATAAAAATTATTAAAGGTCACATATGACAGCGCCAATAAATCTGGAGATGCCGAAAGCACTTTCACTCTAATACCTTATGAGAATATAAATCAGAGTTTCACGGGATATGTCGGCGCCGACAGAAAACGCGTTGCAATCAGATACCATGCTCAGTGAAATTACAACGAGACTTTTTTTATATTTTCGAATTTATTTAAAATCTCTTTTAAAATGATTTAAAAATTAAATCGTATTAAAAATTAAAAATTATATTTAACATAATTGCTAAACACGTGTCAGAGTTTGCACGAATTACGCTCATTGTATTAAAGTCATTACTATCTAAATACTTTGAAGTAAAGTTTTCTTGACAAAAATAAACTCTACCTGTGCAGCTTCACGGTTGTCTGGTTGCGGTTGACCATATCCTCCTGTGTTGCTCCAGTCTCCGGAATTACGTTGTGTCGTTGGACCAATCTTGGCACCAGATCCAGACCAGAACCACCCATTAATGTTCTGGGGTTGAAGATCAGGTCGATCGCAACCATTGAAGTTGCACTTACGGCCGGATGTCCAAATATATCTTACATTTCCTGATTAAACAATAAAACTTCATTAACGTAATTTATTGGCATAATTTTTTATGTTAAACAACTCAAAATGAAGAAATTGAGGCTATTAGGAAATGACGCTCTAATGAGTTCGCTATATATAAGTATTAATACAAAAACTATGTTTAATCAATGTTTAAAAACTCATATTTGATATTTATTTTCGTTATCTTCATAGTCAGGTCTTATATTTAAGGCTTTCTTAAATTTATTTTCAGGTAAGAGACCGGAGCTGCCAAATCGATTCAACTCACAATAATTTCATTAATATGAAAGAGTTTAGGTACATCATGATACATAACCCGTATCGTATCAATACGACGTACTATTAAGAGACAGGAGAGAGGCTGTGGAGATCTCTAGTCAAAGACGATATATGTGCATAATAACTGGTACTGTGAAAGTACAGTGTATGATTTATTAATCTGAAAATAGTCGTTATAAATTAAAATTAAATATTAATAAAATTTATTAAAATTAAATATTAGGTGTAGTAAAAAGAAATCCATTATTTTTCCAATGATTTCTTTTTACTATACCTAATATTAGACAGTAACTGATTGGATGTTCAGTTGAACTGCACAAATTTGATTTATCAGAACCATATTGAACAGATGTATCATAACTATACATCCATGCTTATATAGGTGTTCGTGGATCATCGAAGTGCAGCGATTTCAGAAGTCAAGGATAATAGATGGTAGTATGATTCAACCAGACGGATGAATCATTTCGAAACACTATGAAATTAGTTCCCGAATTCAGAGAAAAACATTTTCTTTTTCATCATAATTTTATGATATGCATTCTGGAATAAGATATTAATCAATAATAATGCTCATATAAGAATCATTTTGTGATTGTGGTCTAAAATTTGTTTAATATATTAATTTAGTCCAGTTTTAGTCCATTGCGACCTAAGATGGACGTTTTTAAAAAGTTCAAAATGATAATACTCGATGTTTTTAAAACATTTTAAAAATATCCATGGATTTAATCTGGATATTTCTAATATGTCCAAAATGTCCAATATGTACGTTTTAATATATTTTTAAAACGTTACTGTGCTCTCTGTATATATCATTTAGAGATTGACTCGTGGAAGAAATAATTAAATTTCTCATTGTGAATAATGAGGGTGTAAGCTAAATCATAAGGTTGACCTTACAATCTCTAAATGATAACTCACGGATACATTAATTATCTTCATCCGGACGTCCGCATCACTCTGACCGCAATAAGAACTCCATTCTTTAATTATAAAATTATTCGAAATGTGACAGTAAAATTTAAATGAGAATCGAGAAAACGCGGATAAATAGCTATCATTTTCTTAATAAGACCGGATGTCTTAATCAAATAATGTCTTATTATCCGAATAATAATTTTAACAACCTCGTATAAAATGTCACGTCCAACTTGGTATTATCATTAAGAAAAAATACGTATTCGTATACCTGTAATTCATTTAATAATACGTGATATAATTGATCTGTAATACAGATTGAACTTTATAGTTTACATACAATTTTATACGTGAAACTTTTTTGAAGTAATTCTGCCCATCAAATTTTATAAATTTGTATCTTGTGTACACGCATAAATATCTTTTGAATATGAATTATTATTTATAACAAATTCAAAGTTTGCGCATATCTGAGTTTCGCGTGAAACTTTAGTTGAGATAAAACGCAGCGATAGAGATATTAAACTTTTCGAAAGTATCAAACCTGTGTTTTATCATTACTCTGTTAGACATCACGAATTACACTTCGTTCAACATTTCCTTATTGTATCTTGATAAACAATCTGCGGTTTTCTAGCACGCAGAATCAACTTTTGATCTATCAGATAATTAAACAAGTGCATCCGCATTTGGATATATTTAGGTATAATCCGTTCATGTTACTAATTATTGTTGTTGATTGATAATCTAAATTAATTTAATGGTTAATTTATTAACAGTTATTATTTTACCATTCCTTTCTTTACATCACTTTTATGTTACATATATTACTACCAAAGAAAAACCTATATAAATTTATATGAATAACTAATAGATGATATTTATATGATATACTTATTTAAAAGGAGAATTTAAGGAATGTATAAAGTATATAAGAAGAATGTAGAAGATATAAGAATTACTAATTAAATAAAAAATTAATTAGAATTCATTTCTTAACATACAGCTACAAAGAAAAGGAAGCGAGACGATCATGAAAAATGCATATAGAATTTTAGTTAAGAATTATGAAAGCTATATTATCAAAACAAAAATATTTAAACAAAAAATATATAATGTTTTGAACAAAACATTACAACAATTACAATTACAAAAACTAGTAATTTTTAATATTTAGTGTAATATTCATTAAAGTTGATATATGATATCGATAGAAAGAATCAGAGCTTTCCATATTATATATTTCAACATTGCTTGCTTTAAACTAACATTGAGAATACAACCGCTTTAATATAGTAACAAACATATCGTTGACGATTCGCGAGAATTCTCGGAAGACAAATCGTTAAATTGCAGATGCCTACATAAAGTCCCTTTCACGTTAGTTCGTTCTTCTGAACGGGGCATCAACGGTCAAGTGAAAGTGACCCGCTTCGCCGAGTATAGGGGTACATGTGAGCATCATGTAGTCACCCGCGAATCTAAGTTGCAACTTGAATTCCTCGCCGAGCAGCCGACAGGATCAGAGGTCGGAGAGAAATGACGAAGAGAAATGACGAGTAGTCACTATCATTGCATCACCAAATTCGCAGACGCGCCTAATCGGACTATCCCGTGAGACTTAACCGCGCGGCAATGTTGTGTAATCAGATCTTAAATTGACCGAAGAGGATCCGCTTTTACTTCTCACGCGCACGGTTTTGTTAGAATCGCATCAGGACTGCCTAAAGATTGCGGCGCGGAAAATTTCTCTCGCGGGTAAGATGTAAAATTAGCAACGCTAATGAGAGATTCCATGTCACTAGCATCTCTCGAATTTCTGACGCGGTTCTTGAAAAGAATGACGAGATTATAACTAGCGAGTTTTACTACACAAAGCGAACTTGAAATTCGCTTGAATACATTCTTCGAAAAATTGCGAAATACGAAAGATATTGATTATTATATCGTGTTTGTAAATGGGAAAGATTTCTATCTCACACTTTATAAATTATACGGTAACGGTACATGTAATTTGAATTTTTACAGAGTAAATTACCACAAAAGTAATTGAATTTGCATGAAATATACCGATAATTTCCTGATAGTCTTCATATTTATGCGAATAACAGATTGAAACATTCAAAAATGACATAATCAGTGATGGTGTGCTTTGTATTTTTACAAGGTAGAAATCACGAGAAAAATGTATAAACATTTTATTAATACAACAGTGACATACTTCAGGTTATAAAATCTTCAATCGAATCGAGAGTGTAATTAATTTTTCTTTAATCTTTACGAGTTATCGGCTGTCTGATTGTTCTTGAAGATCGTCATCACGGATGTAGGAGGATAGATCAGAATAATTATCAAACAGTTATCTTTTATAACAGTATTAATAACCGAGCAATATTAATCGCATATTAATTTCCCTCTTTAAGTAAAATAACTTAACAGATCGTCAACGAATTAAATTTAATTTTCAATTTGATTTTATCATAAAATAGTCATTTCTTATTTTTAAATTAAATTCTGTACACTCTAAACGTGGTTATGATCGACGATTAACATAATAAAAAATTTGTCAGTAGTTTTAGTAAATTAAATTATAAGACATCCATTAATTCTTTTCACATGAGTTAAAATTAATTCACAAGATTTTTAATATATTTTTAATTGCTTTATAGAAATCAGTCGCATTTTCCTTATTTATTTAATTTTAGTAAAAAAAACCATCAAAAGTCATCAGAGGGATTTATTATTAAAGCTTAACGCGACAATAATTGGCTACATTGCTCGAATATAACCAACGATTAAATTTACCATTTATCAAACCTTCGATTATTGAAACCAGCAGTTCGCAAATCGGTCTTTTCTCAAACAGAAATTTTATTCGAGGAAGAGAGAATTACGTAAGACTGCAAATCTTTTTAAGGAATCAAAGTGCGGATTACAATGAAAAGTCAATAGATTTTGAACCTATCATCGCTCACCTCTTGCTAGTCTTTGCTTGACAAATTCATTCTCCTGAGGAGTCTCCAGGGACACGGCGTCCATACAATGACGACGACAGATGTTGCGAGCATCCAACCAGTCCACCTCGAGACTCCTAGTTGGTAGATGTTCCCAGCTGAAGAAGTACGAGTGTACAACTCCCCTACCATCCCTGTACGACGAGTGACGGACGCCTGGAAAACGAACACATTAATGAACACATTAATGAATAATTAATAATATCATTAATCACGATTGTTATCTATAATAATTGATTTTGCTGAGAGATATCTTTGTCAATTCATAGAAATCTATGCATTATAATATAAAATAAAAAGATATAAAATATTTATAATATAAAAAGATATAAAAATCTTTTGTTTAATGTGAAAGTGAAGTTACAGTAAAAAAACATTTCGCATTGGAAACGATCTACTCAAGTCGTTGTTAAAATTTTGTGTTGAATTTTTAACATGTTCGAGTGTTAATTTAAGTATAACATAATGCGATTATATTATTTAAATAATTTTTGTTAATTGATATTTAACATTTCTTATTATTAAAATAATATAATTTATGAGGAAATGGACAAATAATATAAAAGTAATGTGTTAAAATGAAAATTTTAAAATGAATGAATAAAATGTATCTTATAATTTAACATATTATAAATGTTAATTCTGCTAGAAAAATTATATGTTTTCACGGTTTGTTTACAAACTGTATCAGTATTACCTTACTTATGTTTATTTTTTTAAATACTATTTATGTTATCTTCTCATATATTCATCTTATGTTAAATAAACACACAAATTTGAGTGGACCGTTTAATCAGATTCATGAAATGTGTTAAATTTAATATAAACTTGCCACAGCAGGATATATATTTCATCTTTTTTTTTTAAAGACGTACTACACGTGTTCGTAGAAACATTTCAACGAGCAATTTCAGAATCACAAAATCGCATTTAATTATAGAAGAATAAATGGTGAGAATTTGATGACTAACGTGAGCCAGTTCACGTAAAGCGAGTTATGACACACAACAAACGTATTCATGAATGAAGAGCATCTTGCAATCGTTCTCTTTTTCTTTCTCTATTTTCTTTATTTATTTATTTATTTTTTTTTTTGACTATACGGTTTTCAGCAATTTTCCACCTAGTTAACTGTGCAGCCGCTAAGTTAAAGTATGATTATGAAATGTCACTGGAAATACTTACGGTTCGCGCAACTTCGCGGGTCAGGTAAGGCTAAACGACGCTGGGCATTTATGGCAACAACGCCGAGGAGGAGCAAGTAAATGGCCCTCATATTCCCGAACCTTGAACAGAAGAAGAGAACGTTCATTTGTATGGAAATTACGCAAGATACGTCAACGTCGAATCTTTGGGCGATTTATTGATGGATTTAATGACATAACAGTTTAGGATTCTCCGTACGCCGGGTGTTAAAAAGTTCTCAAGTTATTCTGTAAACTATTTATCTCATAAAATTTGTGATTATCAGGCTTCACGAATTAAAATTTCATAAAGTGTTTTCATCTATATATTATATTTTTTTTTTTTACATTACCGTCAAAGTAAAGAATGTTTGATTTTTATTATGCAATGTAAGCGAGAAGATTATTTCAGTTACGTAGGACTATTACATTGCCTTACATAGAATTTCTAAATATATTTCAAATTCTAAATCTGTCACCTGTAAATAAATGCGATCATTAATCAACGCGATGCCGCAATTTCATATAACACGCATTGAAACGTGCCTGAGAGTGCAATCGTGTGTATATACACATACACCGTGAGTGAGAATTATCACGATTATTATTCCAAAGATTTCCATACGATCCAAAAACCTATGAAAAGCTCGAAAAATGTGCATTCTAAATACACCCCAATATATTGAAATACTTAAAAAAATCCCAGCTTCCTCAATTTAAAGAAAAAAGTACATTATAATGAGGAAAAAGCTGTAGCTATGTAATCAAATTGTATAACTTTTATTACGTTTAATAATTGATTAAAGAATTAATATTTATGAAAATCTATTTCGCGTAATCTGTCGCTAGAAAGAAGAACGCTTGGTGTTCTAAATTCAGGGAAACAAAAGAGCTCCCACACTTAGATAATAGTGTAAGACTTTGTACTACTTTTTATACTTTACACGGCGTAATTAAAGTAATTGCGAGTGTTAAAACTTCTTCAACTTTACGAAGTTTCGCTTACTTCTAATCACGAGAAAATCAGCTTCTTGCTCATTGCGTTTAGTTTCGCTTGTTGGAAAATATACCGAAGATATAATTAGAAATTTAAGCCTACTGGAAAGCCTTGACAGTAGGAGTTCCAACATGCATGATTTTATGCAGATGCTGATTACGTACAATTCAGGGTACTCGACAGAAATACCAAGCCACGTGTCGTACACCAAGGTAATATTATGGAATCCTTAAGAAAGTCGACAATTCTTTGAAACGGGAACACTGAACATTTGCCAACGCCATTGAGCGTGTTCAGCAGTTCGAGGTTACGGGGTTACAAGGCTTTTATGATGCTCGCATGTACTGAATTTGCAACGGACACAAATCTTAATTATTAAAATTTTTTATGCAGATTCTCGAGTCTTTTACGTAATTTTTAAAAACATGCTTTCGTACCTTCCTCAAATTAAATTATATTCAATTATTCTCATGAATTATACGAGAAAAAATTTAGTAATAAATAAATAACCAATTAAATAATAAGGGACTTGACATCAAGTTATACATGTATTTTTTATAAGATATTTTTAAGAAAACAATATAAATTATATATTTTTGATGAAGTTTGTTTTAATTCATCTTTCTAATTTTTTTTATAGTTTTATTTAATATATATTTAAAAAGTGTATAAAATTTTGTAGAGATAATAATTATTTTATATAAAATAATAAATCCATCTTTCAAAAAGTGATATTTATATAGAATTATTCTTTTAAATTATTATTAACATAGCATACTTTCAATTAATCAGTTTTCTAATTCGATTTAATTTTAGAACAAAGCAAAGTGACTAGCGCATCGAATTATAACTTCCGGATTGATCTCGTGCGACACGTAAATGTCGACGCTTCGTGATGGTTTTACTAATGATTGTCATCCGTCGAGGCGGACAAATGCGAAGCGAACCACTTTCTAGAAAAGTAAACGACACGAAGCCGTTAGCAAAACGCGTTCAGAGCAAACGAATAAAAACCGTTCTAGAGTTTCCCTAATCATTGTGCTGACCACACTGCCAATCTTTAGTTCGAAAAGTAACATTTTACTCAGTTTTAGAAGCTGTCGAAGAAAAACGAGTTGTATTTTCTCATGATCTCTTAATTTATCTGTAAGCTAAATTTACAAATGAAGTCGATAAATGAATATATATATGTACTTGCAAAGAATCCTTCAAAAAAACAAAATTTTCACATCAGACGTATCATACGTTTGAATAAAATGAAATTAGGAAGAGTAATATTTCTCAACTGCGTTATCAAACTAAACTAACTTTTAATAGTTTAATAAAACCCAAATAAAATTATTAATAAATTACAAGAATTTTTGTAATTTGTAAAGATAATCACAAGAGTGGTTGATTTATTTTTCTATAATGAAAAAGCAACGAGATAAATTTTCATGCAATTACCAACAAAAAGTAAAGATTGTGGGGTCACAAGAAAGTTATGTAAGAGGTGCTAGCAAAAGACAAATACTGAATTATTTATTATTAATTATCTAGTTTAACAAACTCTCATCTCTATGTACAATAATAATGTATGATGACTTGAACTTGCTAAATGTATAATTTAACAGTATTCATATATATTCACCGTCCCATCATCATACATCATAAAACTCACGACTCTTTCTTTTACTTCTGCCAATATATTACGAAGACAATGAGCAGTTTTTCGCCTGCTGAAATATACGACTCTATATAAAAGTAATTGGTATTTTCATATTAGAATAAATATCAATATTCATGAGATGTTGATGACGAAAAACGCGAGCATAATAATATCTCGTTTTAGATTAACACAATAGAATCTTAGCCCAAATAACACAATCAAATCTCTTGAAATGAATTAAAGAATGTAAAATTGAAAAAAACATTCAGAAATTATAATATAAACAGTTAAATTTTTCGGTATGTGTTAAAACAATGTATAATCAGGAGAAACAGCCATATGTCTCTCCCTTTTGTATTTATCTTTCACATAGATGATAGAGCGACCTCCCGCACTATTTTCTTCGCGCATTAAGTCGCTAATTAAGAATGGAAGCGTAAAAATTATCGTGCAGCAGTAATTAACGTAGTGTGACACGACGGCATACATACTATTAAATATATAGCACGTGAAATGGAGTGGATATCCAGATTGAAAGTTAATAGCTCACTAGAATAGAGGTTGATGGGTTATGGGCCGCTGATAATATATTATAACAATATAAAATATTGCGTTGAATATAATGATAGATTCTGAGATGAGACCGGAGAAAGGATATAAAGTGGAGTAACACGAATGCATCAAATAAATTGAAGATAAAACTGTTAACATCTCTTTCAGCCTTCTTAATTTTATATTTGCTATTACGTTACTTTCGCTTCATTTCACTTTGAAAGACTTAAGTTAATTGGTCTTTCTCTTTTATACAGAATTAATACTCCAAAAAAGTATATTCTATTTATATATTTCTGCATTTTATAATTATTAATATATAACTTTCGTATATTTTTATAATTATTTTTTTTTATAATTATTAATACATAACTTTCATTTTTTCTAAATAAGCCAAGATATATTTTGTGAAAAAATTGAAACATTTAAAGATTGACGCTTTAATTGTGCTGTATAATTGGCAATAATTGAAAATGTTTATTAAGATTGCAGGAGAGAAAAATATGAGCATATTAAATACATTACATGAATTACATCACAATTTGAAGAACAAGAGAAATATTCACTCCTACTAAGTTAATTCTTTCACGCCACGCTGCTTTAACAAGCTAATTGATTACATTTATTTTTTTTAAACTTTTACAAATATACTTAGCGACAAAACTATTAAATACTCATTAGTATACTTTTATCATGAGATCTATGTAATGCATCAGAAGGGATTAACGATGTCTTAATAAAATATTATTAGATCTTCTCTCCAGATGTCAATTCAATCTTCCAAATGTCATAGCATTGGCATAATCAACAATTGTCAAATGATCTCGACAAATAATCTCTTTTTTGTTGGTATTACAAAATCACTTTCGTTATCTAGTGATCTTACATCAATGGTTCATGTTCTCGGCTATCCTGATACTCTATTGAGACGATGTATACATAGGATATACATAATTTTCCGATGAAGATACAAAAGAGAGAGAGAGAGAGAGAGAGAGAGAGAGAGAGAGAGAAGAGAGAGAAAGAGAGAATATATATTCTTGATGTTGCAAACAGATGCTATAGATTTGGTTGCTATCCAGTCTGGTTGTGCAAAATCCATTGCGAAAGAGCTTTTCTATGTACGAGCACCTCATTAATGTGTCCTCGCTCACCTACGCAATTTTCCTCTCTAAAATGCGCCTCCTTTCAAAAGCAGCTGTTTTTCCTTTTTATCTCTACACAATGCAGCTTTGACGCAACTAATGTTTTCTAATCAAAGAATAAATATATTTACAAAGAATATATTTACATTTTACTTTATCGCGTAATTTCATTTAGAACAAAAAATTTCAAAATTAAAGACTAAAAATTAATTGATTGATTTAAAAAATAATATATGCATACAAGCAATAAAAAGTACTGTTGAAAAATTTACGTAAATTTAATACATTTTGCGTGTCTCAAGTGGTTCACTTAAAATAATGTAGATATTAATTTGACACACAAGATGAATATGTTAGAAAAATATAACACAAATATTATTTAAAAAATAAGCACAAAAATAAACTGACAACATTTGTAAACAAACTGTGGAAATATATTTTTTCAGTAAAATTAACATTTGTAATATATTCAATTGATATATAGTATATTTTATTCATTCATTTTAAAATTTACATTTTAAAATACACTATTTCTACGTTTATTTATTCATTTATTCATAAATCATTTCGATACTAAGAAATATTAAATATTAATTAACTCAAACTATTTAAATAATCTTATTAAATTAATACTGGAATAAATGTTAAAAATTTAACAAGAACTTGAATGGATCGTTTCCAATACAAATACGAAATATTTTTTTATTGTGTAAATTTCCCGATTTTAAATTTTATAGCCTATACATTCTGCTTGTTCTTT